AAAGTCCCGTACGATGACCTCATGTTCCAATGGTATTCTCACTATCCAAAACGCAACCGACCTTTGGTTTGTCTGGTGCTTGGATGAGGGCGTTCTGTTGGTGGAAATTAACACGATGACCTTCAACGCGTACAACACCCTTACCAGAACGGCTGCGGGATATCCACCGTTTGCGTCCATTTGGAACAAAGTATTCTCCGCGGTATTAAAAGGATTGTACAAGCTGAATAGATTGCTCGCAAAGTTTCTTGATACTCCATACTGAGGAAACGGGTGAACAGGGTTGAATTGAACTGGCCTTTGTACTCACACTAAGTTGACTATAGAAACGGGCACCATCTCCTAGTTGGGCCCAACACGCTGCCCTCCAGATCTTGCCCCACCCGGCATCCGCATCTGGAGATGTTCCGTTGCCCCTCATATTTAGAGCAACATTTGAAGCTGCGATGAGACCCTATACACGTGTCAGCCCAACCAGGATCAATACATACTTTCCCCCTTACCTGCTTAGTCAAATTTCCAGACTTAATGCCATCAGTTTGTGGATCGAATGATGAGATGGAGTATGAAGGATATAGGCCGACAAGGTGTGACAAGTGACGATGAGTTAGACGTTCAGAATTGTCCAAGTCGAGTCTCCATTCTATCAAATCACAATTGAGCGAATGGATATACGGAGAATATGTCTCTTACCTTGGATTTCGCCCTTGGATCCAATATCGAGGCCTCGGTATAACCGTTGCCGCTTTTGCTTAATTTCTACATTTGCTTGAGCAAAAGTTCGACCCTTCTTCGATGTACCCACCACTCAAGAAAGCATTTTCCGATGAGAGATTTAGTACTGAAAGTGACTTTTCCACGGCGTTGAATAGCTCCCAAATCAGCTGCTGCCAATGTGTACAGCCTGTACAGAACATAGAATGAGAAATGGTGCACTTATTGACTTAAATGTCATACCAAAAGTGGTTTGAGGGAGTTCCGGAGAGTTGCATGGCACCGCAACCAGAGAGTTATCTTTGGTATAGCCATCGTTCTGCAGAGCCTCAAGCCAGAACTGAGTGGTGACTTTGAGGAGAGGATACCCTTGTCTTCGAAGCCAGTCCACATCGCCAGTATAGTCGAAGTGATCCCAAACATGTGTCATCTAGGAAACAGTGAGTCTTGTTTCCACCCCTCCTTCCACACGTACAAGCCAAGCGCCAGCACCTATTTTGGTAAAGAAATCAGCAAGACTTCTATATAAAGAGAAGAAAAACACTTACCTGCGTAGTTTGTCCATTCGCCAGGATTATAATTTGGAATATCGAGTCCTTTCATACCAGTAGAACCAAATATCTGTAAATCCATCGTTATGAAGGTCTAAGCTGCCCGGAGCTTAGCTACATACATTTGTCTGTCCAATTTGTAAGCTCAGAGTATGATAATGAGTTAGAAAAGCCGTACCTCATCGTGCATAGCCCATCCCTTTGAAACATTGTATAGTATTTGGGCTGTCTCGCTCCCCCTAGGTACGACCGTTTTCTGGAAGATGATGAGTCCCAGTAGTAGGACGAAAAAGCAGCCACCTGACCTGGACAAAGTCCCATAGTGTTTGTGTGATATCCATTCCCGTAGCTTCGACAGGCCAGTACATCATTTGTACGTTGATATTGGCTAGTTGCTCCGCGTTACCACATGAAAGAGTTTCATCAGAACCAAACCTTACCATGATAATCTAAAATAATTAGAATAGATCCTGAATGAGAGCTAACTGCTCTTACCTCCACTCCAAGGTGCCCACGAACCAAAGGACCATACTCCTTGCAGATTAGCTGGAAGATTTCCACGGGCTGAACTGAACATGAGATGACGCCCGTAATTGAAGAGGAGCCATTCTAACAGCGTCCTTCCTTTATCGGTTGTTTGGCCATTCAGTTGAGATGCTTGATAAGAAACAAGAAGCTCGTCTGTTGAGTGATCGTAATCTGCACGCTGCCCAAGGTTGAGGGAGAACGATGAACTTGTTCCCTGTGTGTAGTCGTTGACTTGTCTCTTTAAAAAGTTAGAATATGTGAGGCTGTTGATCGCCGAAAGAATCGGTGTCAGTTTGGAGTGAGGATCAGCTCCGCGGAACGAATAGTTGGCTGCCGCTGTCCCGGCATTGATGTCGTATTCGGTTTCACCAGACCAGACAAACCAAAGGTCGGTTGCGTTTTGGATAGTGAGAATACCATTGGAACATGAGGTCATCGTACGGGACTTT